TGGAACACTGGGTGTTATACGCAAACAATGAATCATGGAACACTACATCAAAAACTAATGATGTAATGTATGGTGATTAACATAACATAATAAAAAAATTTAGAAAATCATTACAAGAAAAATAAATTTTACCTGAGGATTTGAAAAATTTTAAATATGAAGTGTGGTAAAATATAAAAGAATGTATAAAATGTGTAGAGAATAATAATAAGGTGAACATTGTTGTGTACTGGTCACCTACCATTAGAAATAGAACATTGCTAGTATATTAGAAGGCCCTACATCTCTGCTCCATGTGATAATCTTCCTCTCACACACCTTCTTACTACCTGTAATCATGGCCTTATCTAAATTTTGTATTACCTCATTTTCTTCGTAGTTTTACCATCTTTATATATTGCTTGGTGTTGTATGTCTTTGAACTTCATGTAAATGGATATAGATATAAATTATTTTTTTCTGCTCACTTCATCCATGTTGACTTGTGTAGTAGTAGGTCATTCATTTTCACTGCTACATACTCCATTGTTTGACTATAGCACCATTTATTTATCCATTCTATTGATGATAGCATTTGGGCTGTTTCCTCCCTTCCCTCTTTTTGTCATAGTGATTAGTGTTGCTGCTGAATATTTTAATAGTTGTGTGCTGGTGCACTTGTGTACAAGTTTCTGTATGGCTATTAGTGGACCATAGAGGTGGACCTATCTGTACCTGCCTTGTGTTTTCCAAAGCGATTGTACCACCACCAGCTGTGGGTGGGAAATACTGTTGATTTACTTTAATATGTGTCTATCAAGTGAGTGAAATTATAATTTTAATAATTTTAATTTGAACTTTCCTGATCACTTTTCATATGTTTATAGCCTATATTTTTCCTCTTTGGGAAATGTCTTTTTGTCTTTCCTGTCTTTCCTATTGGGTTGTTTCTCTTTTCCTTAAGGTTTTTGGTTCTTTTATTTTATTATTATTTTTTAAAGATTTTATTTATTTATTTGACAGAGAGAGTGAGTGAGAGAGCATAAGCAGGGGGAGGGGTAGAGGGAGAGGCAGACTCCTCACTGAGCAGGGAGCCTGATGCAGGGCTCAATCCCAGGACCCCAGGATCATGACCTGAGCTGAAGGCAGACGCTTAACTGACTGAGGCACCCAGGTGCCCCGTTTTTAATTCTTTAAAGGACCTTTTATACTAATCCTAGATGTCAAGACACTAGTCTGGTAGTAAGATGAAAAAAATCGATTTCTGTTTTGTCAGGATAGATGTTGATTAACTTGAGTCAGAGGATAATTGGGACAGTGGCAGGTCTAAATGAAAAATTTTCTCCCTTCCTTTCATCACAAGGTTTCACTTTAAGAGACTTGGAAACTCTTCCCTTTGGAATTGCTCTTCCCATCAGAGATGCAATTTACCACTGTCGTGAGCAGCCTGCTTCAGACTGGCCAGAAGCTGTCTGTCTCCTGATCGGACGTCAGGATCTTTCCAAGCAGGCCTGCGAAGGAAACTTACCCAAAGGGAAATCTGTGAGTATCAACATAGAAAGTTCAAAGTTCAGATTTAGTTTCAAAATCAAAGTAGTAATATTCTCCATTTTTTTCTTAAGTCTTTTTACAAGTGTATATATCAGTTTGTCTTTTATATTGTATGCCATATGGGGTTTATAATTGGGCAGATCTTCTTATTTATAAATTGAACATGGGAACAGGAGATTTTGTGAAGGCTCCTCTTGCCTAGACCTTTCTTTCCTTTTAAGTCAGGAAAAGTGCTGAGTCAGTAGATCCCTACCATGACTCTTTCTCTGCTTGTACCATATCGGTAATTAACTACTTTGTGACTATTAGGTAGAAAAAGGGGGAGCACATGTATCCTTACTTTGAATATGTAACTGTTTTCTCTTTCATACTTTTTTGATGTGTTGAATTTCTTGAATTTAACCTTTTAAACAGGTGTAAATATATCTGTTTAATCACATAAAACTGAAGCTCCAGGAAAGGGTTTTTTGGGAGCTGGGATGGGGGACACTAAAGTTCTTTAGAAGATGTCTTAAGTTATTCCTCCTGAAATTCTATCCTTTGTCAGTCTTCCTCTGCTTTTATAAAGAATGGGTTCTGAGAAGCCTACAAATAAAAAATGAAATACATCATTACTCTCTAATTATCTCTCTCTCTTTTTTTTTAAAAGATTTATTTATTTATTTATTTGAGAGAGAGAATGAGATAGAGAGCATGAGAGGAGGGAGGTTCAGAGAGAGAAGCAGACTCCCTGCCGAGCAGGGAGCCCGATGCGGGACTCAATCCTGGGACTCCAGGATCATGACCTGAGCCGAAGGCAGTCGCTTAACCAGCTGAGCCACCCAGGCACCCTAATTATCTCTCTTTTAAAATCAGCTTCTTTTAGGGGCACCTGGGTGGCTTAGTCGTTAAGCGTCTGCCTTCGGCTCAGGTCATGATCCTGGGGTCCCGGGATCGAGCCCCGCATCAGGCTCCCTGCTTGGCGGGAAGCCTGCTTCTCCCTCTCCTACTCCCCCTGCTTGTGTTCCCTCTCTCACTCTCTCTCTCTCTGTGTCAAATAAATAAAATCTTAAAAAAAAATAAATCAGCCTCTTTTAAAACTTAAAAGTGGAATTTCAACTACTTTTTCTAGAACTCTATTTAACTTAAAAAAATATAAATGGTAGCACTGCATTACCCTGAGGATCATAGAGGATTCAGGGATGGTTTTCCCACTCTTGGTGACTCTTTTACTTTGGTTTTTTTTTTTTTTAGATCGAGTAGGAGGGGGCAGGGGGAGAGAGAATCCTAAGCAGGCTCCACCTAGCATGAAGCCCGACACGGGGCTCAGTCTCACAACACTGAGATCATGACCTGAGCTGAAATCAAGAGTTGGATGCCCAACCAACTGAGCCACCCAGGCACCCCGTTTGTACTTTGTTTATATCCCCAAGAGAACAGCACAAATTTGCCTCATCTTTTGAACCAACACATATTAATCAAAATACTGTAACTATTTATAATTCATATTACATCTTAGACTATTAATGTTTCTTCAGAGCTTCAGAGTCTGTATCAAAATTTTATTCCTAACATTAGAGTTGCCTACTGGATCTATGAGAGAAGCAGTTTCCATGGGATCCCATCTCCGGCAGGGTTGGCCCAGCACATCTCTCTTTTAATCTGCACTCATATAATAGCTCTTAGTTGAATTAGTGTTTGTCCTACTTTAAACAGAAAACCTTTTGTGTTTTTTTTTTGCTAATAATAGGATTATCCTTTCCTTTATCAAGATAAGTTTTAGCATTTCGACCTCATTCGTTACTATGAGTGAAAGCAGTTTAACATCATTAGCACTAAAACCAAATGGTATTGATAATCTTTGATCTATTTAGATGTCATTTTAAGTAATTCTATCTAAATTCAGTTTGATCAGTTATTTGAGGTTACATTTTATATTATTTGAGGCTACCTTTTATGACTCATCGAAATTCAGTTTTTGAACTATTTGGATCTATACTTTATAGCCAACTCACCCAGTAGAATAGTTTCTTTTAATGTTAGATATTCCTTAGGAACCGTAATGAATATTTATGAACTAAGTAAGAGGGATTAGTCAGTCACATCTGCTATAATTTTTTTAGGCTAATGTTGCTTCCCTGTTAAATGTTGCAAAACTTTAGCATTTTAACTAGGAATTAATCTTTTGTTAAAGGAATATAAAGTTCTTGAGAGAAAATGAGAAGATTTTATGCTATTCACATCTAGGTTGCAGTGTGATTGAATTACTTGGATGGGGAGGGCTCATATGAAAACACATGCTGAGCTTCTGAGGACAGAATGATAATCAGGGGATTAACCCTCTTCATTTGTTTTGCTGTAGCTACTTTCTGATTAAGGAATTTTTATTTAAGACATCCTTATTAAAAAAAATAAAATCAATAATGATCCATTTAAAGTACTAAAGTAAGAAAATTTTGTTCAGCTTCCTCCAGCCCTTGGCTTATATCCTCCCAGGTTGTTTTTTTCTGCTTATATTAATCAAAGATAATATTTATGTTTGTGTGGGTTCTTTAGTAATAGTGAGTGGGTTTCATATTCTGCTTGCAGTAATTCGTTTCCTTTTTAAGATATTTAGGATGTAGTTAGAGTTTTAGAAGTTATTTAGAATGTTCAATGGATCAGCTTCCTGACTATTTCCTAAATTTAATGTTTTTCCCTTGGCTCAATAAAGAATTTTCCCAAGTGAGCAGTATAATTGTACTTTTAAAAAAGACTTCTAGATTAGAGTCCCAGTATACACTGGGAACCCAAACCAGCCTTGCTTTGGAATACATATTTTCTCTGTACAATAGAGTCATGGCACATCATCCTGTATATCCTTGTGTTCAGTAAGTGCATGGTGTTTGGTTTTTAAATTATTATTACAACCAAGTCTGTTACTCAGGTGCTCTCATCAGATGTTCCTTCAGGAACAGAAACAGAGGAGGAAGATGATGGCATGAATGACATGAATCAGGAGGTTATGTCGTTAATATGGAGTGAAGATTTAAGAGTGCAGGACGTGCGAAGGCTTCTTCAAAGTGCACATCCCGTCCGTGTCAATGTAGTACAGTACCCAGAACTCAGTGACCACGAGTTCATTGAGGAAAAAGAAAACAGGTAAAGGAGGCATGTTGTTATCTGTTGTCAGTGTTTTTTAACACAAAAAACCCTAAAAAGATACTTCAGAGTTAAAAGTACCATGTGTTGTAAGTTTTTATCCATCCTCGGTAAACCATACATTTTTTCAAAATATTTTGGCATTTGATAACACAAGAGTGTCTGATGACATAAGTGATCCTCCTCCTCTTGAAATGCAGCTCTGTTATTTAGAAAAGGTGACTCTAAGACCATTTTGCTTAGTTACCGTAAGAATTTACAAACAAAGCAAAACTCAACTCATTCTTCCGTATCTTGATGAGGAAAAAAATATGTGTGTGTGTGTATATGTGTGTGTGTATATGTGTGTGTGTGTATATGTGTGTGTGTGTATGTATATATGTTTTTAGTGTAGCTTAAACTTAAAACCAGTATTTTTTTTTCTGATATGATAGGTAATACTGTATAAATCTCTACTGCCAATCTCTAACATATGTTATATCCCTTGGTAATTGTAATACTCAGTAGTAACCATCCCGTGACATTCCAGAGTTGTTGCCTTGGGACAGTTCAACTTATATTTGAAAATTCTCTCCTGTCCTGTTACCTGCCATGTCTCTGTCGCCTGTCATTTTCCACCATTATTTTCTGGTTCTCGCATTGCTTATACTGGTCCTGCTTTACGGGGAAGGATCATCCATACCTAGCTGCAGGGTGCTGAAGATCTGAGTTAGTCTTAATCTGCGTCTCACTGTTTCCTCTCCCATGTATACCTAGGTATTAGTCATCTGTAACTGAGGAGTCTGAGGGACAGAGAAATTGTATGGAAACATAGTGGTTAGTGTGGGCTCTGGATGTGCTGGGTGTCTTTGGATGAATTACTTAACTTCTTGCTGTCTCAGTTGTCTCAACTATAAGAATAGGCATAATTGTAGCATTCATACCTCACAGGGTTGCTGTGTGTGTAGAATGAGTTATATCTATATAGTCTTAGAACACTGCCCAGTATGTAGTAAAGCTCAGTGCAGTTAGCCATGAGTATTAACTGAGTTCAATGATACATGAAGCAAGTTGTTTTTTGTTTTTTTTTAACCTTTATAATCAGTGACATCTCAGGTAGAAGGGATTACAGTATTTTGTTTTCATTATTACAGTTTTGTGGGTTTAAGGTTTCTGCTAAAAAGTTCTATGGGATATGGCCTTGAGTTTTTTGGATTCTAAATTAACATGGGGCACTGTTCCTAAAGAATCTTGGGACAGCAGATTTTTCTTACCAAAAAAACTAGAAAAGCAGCTGTATGTATGTACAGTTAGGGAGAGAACACGTTTATGAATAGCTTTGTCTGCAGAGAAAATGTTAGCCTCTGATGGGGTATTTCTGTATCTTAACACAGATATCTTAACAAGAGAACTTTTGTTAAGCGTTTCCTGGTTATAAATACCCCTACTTCCACAATTCCTGTTTGATTTTGCTTTAAGGGGCTATGTGGAATGTGATTTAACATAGAAACAAGTTAAGTGTGGTGTATTAAAGTTTCAAAGTACAGCCCATTGAAGCCATTTTAACTCTGAATATAACTTATTGTGCTATAAATCCTATAAGTCTTAGCCATCATGTAAGTGAAACTAATTCTTTTTTCCCTGGAGACACTGTGAAATCCACTGACCTCTAATATAGGGATTTGCTTTCCTTTCTGTGTACAGGCTACAGAAGTGGCACTTTTTTTTTTTTAATTTTATTTATTTATTAGAGAGCATGAGAGAGACCATAAGCAGGGGGGAGGGGTAGAGGGAGAAGCAGACTCCCCGCTGAGCAGGGAGCCCAGCCCAGTGCAGGTCTCGATTCTAGGACCCCAGGATCATGACCTGAGCTGAAAACAGATGCTTACCTGACTGAGCCACCCAGATGCCTGCAGAGGTGGCGCTTCTGAGGCTATGTTGGCAAAAAGGGTGGGAGGAGGATCCCAGATGTACTGAAGGCAGCTAGACTGAAAATAACAAAATGAGGAAACCCAAAACATACCTTTGAGCAGGTTAGCATCAGAATGGCATTTTGGGTTTCTCTTTTTGGTTGCTGAGGGAGAGTTGGCTTGGTTTATAGACCAGCTGGTTTTCACTCAAAGCAAATATGAAACAAAAGAAATGTATCTCTCCCTTAGAGTTTCTGAGGGGAACAAGAATATTAAAATGAGAATAACCATGTTTGGATGATTCATCCACATCTTTGTATGGATTTACTCTGATGTGATTTCTTCTTACATAGCAGTTCTTCTGGAATGCTTAACTACAGATTACATTACGGTTTTTTTTTTTGCTTCAGAATTTTTCACATGTTGGTTTTGATTTTAATTACAGATTGCTCCAGTTGTGTCAGCGAACTATGGCCCTTCCAGTAGGACGAGGAATGTTTACCTTATTTTCATACCATCCTGTTCCAACGGAACCACTGCCTATTCCCAAATTGAATTTGACTGGTATGTTAAATTCTGGGCTCAGTGAGAAAGGAAAATGATTAAGTGTGTTTTTAGTGGAGTTACTGAATTATTTTAGTTAAAACCAAAGAAATGCTCTTTCTATCCCCACTAATTTCAGATATCAACCACTCTAGTGGTTGTCAGAGCTCAAATAGCAAATCAAACTAAACATTGTGGGAAGTAGCATGCAGCCCATTACTAAATTTTGCTTTTAGTGAGACTGTTTCATGATATAAAAAGGCACTTGGGAAAGTTTAGAAAGATATTATTGATGATGGTGAGATTACTGAACTTTAAATAATCTTAAAGTATAATATGTAAAAACATTGTATCTTAATGTGTCTTGTTATATCTTATGAATATATGATCCTTGTACAAGAACACAAAAATATACTAACCAAAAAGAAAAAATGCTCACGTATAGTATAGTAGTCCCACTTGTTAGAATGTTAACATTTTGGTATATATGGTTCCCAATTTTATTTTTCTAGTTTATAATTTTATATATTTTTAATTATCAGAAAATTTAACTCTGTTTTAGAAATTGTTTTCAAATGTACTATAGCGTGAGCATCCTTTCATACCTAGCATACATAGGTATACAATTGTATTATGTGAATATATTATGTAGGTAGGTATTGAATACAGATATTTGTAGTCAACAACTTCATTTTTATTTGCTCCAGAGTATTTTATTGATGGAATATAGTTTATGTCAACAACCTGATTTTGTTGGGAATTATCATTTTTTTACTATTATAAACATGCTGTCAGGGTGTAGTCATTTATTTATGTTAATTGCTTTAGAAGTAGAACTCCCAGGACAGCAAGATTTTAAGGCTTTGATGTTAACGTCTTGTCAAATTACCTTTCTGATTGGTTGTGTGAGTTTTTACTTCTGTAAGATGTAAGTGTGTTCATTTCCTAATGTTATTGATTACAATGGGTTTTATAGTGCATATTCACCTAATGCTGGTAAGAATATGTTCTAAAGGTGACAGTTGTGTACAGTTGAAATTATCATTGAAAATTCCTGAAGTATGTGTGGTTTTATGGGACTTGTATGAAATGTATTTATCATACACACAGTAATGTATAGTATAGTAATATATACCAATATAATTCTGCAGTGTTTTAAGTTGCATAATTTAAAAAAATCCAGGGTCCCATTCAAATATGTGGAGAGCTTTTACGTTTAGTAACATATGGAAAGATGAGATCAGCTGAATGAACATATTTTCATCTCAATATTATACCTATTCTGGAGCCCTAATCTTATTTAGAGACATAGCAAGCAGAGTTACCTTCAATATTTGAATTGTTCTCTCTCTTAGAGATGGAGCAGTATGGCAAAATCTGAATAATTACTGAATCTTCATGGAGAGTGGGGTATATAGGTGTTCGTTATGTTAGTCTTTCAACTGTTTAAAGTTTTCATATAAAGAATTTGAGTTAAAAAGAAAAGAATCTCATGTAAAACTGGGAAATGTTAAAATGTATTAAATCTGGGCAGTGATGCTTGGGTGGGTGTTAAAAAAATAAATACATGAGTCATCTTTTTTTTTTCTGAATACATTTAGTTAAATTTGCATATTCAAAATACAGCCCATTGAAGCCATTTTAACTCTGAATATAACTTATTGTGCTATAAATCCTATAAGTCTTAGCCATCATGTAAGTGAAACTAATTCTTTT